TGCTATATTGGTGCCTCTGCTAGATGCCAACTAGCTGCAAGAAGTCTGGACCATGCAGAGTTCAGCCTTCTAGCTCCTTTCCTTGGGTGGAATGAGAAGCAAGTGGAGAGTGAACCAATAGCTACAGATACACAAGACATTTTCTGGATCATAAGGGCAAAATAAACATTACTGTCTGATTCACAGAATGAGGAGTGGTTATTTCTCCCAATGTTCAGAAATTCTACTATGTCTAATTATTTAGCCAAATCATTATATTCAAAAGTAAGACAACAGATGGGTAAAGTGGGAGGCAGGGTGAGGGGGGCGAGGAACACCTAACACTTTCAGACATCAGAAAAAATAAAACAGGAGGTTAATGAAGCTGTAGTCTTCCTTATCCTTAATGTTGGCATGAGGGCTTATGCTTAGTAAGGGCTGTCATGTCACACTCCACATTGAGGACATTACCCACTTCAAGTCTTTAAACAACTCTCTGAGGAAGGCACTGTAATTGTCCTCATTTTATAGGTAGGGAACCAAGACACAGTGAGCCCAAAGGACTTGGACAAAGAATGCTAAAGTCAAGACTGGGGCTCAGCCTGACTTGAGACCCATGTTTTTAACTGTTACACTTTATCACATGACATTATACACTATCTTTAACACTGTGCTGTTATGGTTCAAATTTGTAACTCCACTGTTGCCTCAGGGCAGAACAATACTAACTTCTCCACCTGAGAGAGGCCTCAAGCTTTTTTGGTGCAATACAAAAGACAACAATACAATACTGTAGATGAAAATGACATTTCCAGAAATTTTTATATGCAAATTTGCAACAATAATTTTGCATTAATGTAAGCTTTGCATTTAAAAGAGAATTTAACTTTGATGTATAACAGACAAATTACATTAAGACATTAAATCTGTAAGTCATTGTTAAAAAATAGTTTGCTTATTATAAGAAAAGAAAACTTTCCAGGCTTTGATATATGTTCTTATAAACATGAAAATAAAATTCCTTCCTCAACTGTCCTTTTCTATTTCACACATATTGATCTTTCCATATGTTTTAAATAATCACAAAATTAATAGGAACTGTTTTTAATACATCCAAATCATAGCTGCTTTCATGTCAAAATATTTTGGGGAAGAATGAGGTGAAAAGTTGCTTAAATATTAGGAAAAACTAAGAACAACCAAGAACAGCTTTAGAAGAGAAACTGAAAGACTGAGAAGGCATCTATGGGAACATGATTGCAGTTGGAGGTTCTCTAATAAGGGGGATTGTGAAGTTGGCATTAACAAGGCCAGAGCCCAGGCAAAATAAAAAGGAAGAAGAAATAAAGCCAAGTACTGTTTGACCAACATATTAGCTGTGAATCAATGAAAAAACATACCCAGTGGAATAAGCCAAACCTGAATGCGATTTCCAACAGCTTTTGGAAGATGTAGCATTGGACAAAACTTCTTGATATTTTTTAAATGTTCATTATTCATAAAAGGGTCATGATACTTATCTAACTGAATTGCAGAGAAGAATTAATGGGACAACATCACACAGTCCCCAGTATTAAGGCTGGCATTATGAATGCCAGGGGAAAGAACACCCTCCAATTGCCCCCACCAGCCCACCAGACACGAACCAACTGTGAAGAGGAGGCAACAGGAAGACCCATTCATGGGCAGGCTGGGCACTCCTAGAAGTCACACAGAGTTTTCTATATAACAGTTATTTTCAAAGTGTTTATGATCCTAATTATTTTCTAAACCAATAAAAGGATTAATTTTTAGGAAACTAATGTCAAGGAAAAAATAAAGCTATTTCAAAGCACGTTTTCAATCACACTAATAAGCCACAATCCCATACTATATTTGAACTGTAAAAAATACTACTTGGTAAGGTCATTATGTTAGCCATTAAATTATTAAGCTATTGGGACAGCTAAACCTGGTTAAAACAATACTAAAAACAATTGTTTTGTAACATACTATATTTTGAATTTTGGCTGTTTGGCATATGCATTAATTTTTAGAAGAAAATGACTAAATTTATTTACATAATGAATTTTATTTCAAGTCACATGAAGCCTTACATGATTATGTCACTGTACACAGGGCAATTTGTGAGACATCTACTTTATAAGTAGGTTTTTAAAGTTATAAAATTCTTCAATTAGTACAAGCACCACTATGTTTTAAAATATGCCATTTATTTATAATTAAACATCTTATTGGTCACTACTGACATAATTTTGATACTCTCAGATTCAAGAAAGCATTTTGTAAAACTACCATGCCACACACACACCAAAAAGTTTGGGGGGTCCTCAGTCTTGCAGAAGTTTTTTATCAGCTAAGTTCAGCAGACAAGAGTGCCATCCAGAGGCAAAAGAAGAAAACACACATTTGATTTTATTTGTGAGACAAGACTGGTGTTAAATTTTAAAGAATTATTTGCTATTACTTATCTCATTAAAACATGCAGGAAATTTTAAGATTCTCTCTGAATTAAAAAATCCTTTAGTTCCAGGTTACATGTAAGTGTGGCTCTTTGAGACCTCACAAATGGAAACAAGCCTTGAGATGGGGCCAACCACAGGTGCATACTTTGCCAATTAAAAAATTGAATTTAAGTGTATTCACTGCAGTAAATGCTTTCCTTTCTTTCTATAATGAATATAGCATGTGTTTCCAGAAGTATATATAAGTTCTGAAATAACCACCATGATCTATTTAGACATGTGGACCAAAAGTTAAACTAATTAACCAGAGACAGTTCTTACTTAAATGAGAAAAATTTCTTTCACTAAAAGTTCTTCTGCATAATTTTCTTCTGGCAAAAAAATAAAGTTTATTTAGAGTAATTCTGTTTGGCAGACAGTCAGGGCTTCTAAAAAATATACCAATAATTGTTAAGGTTAAAGCACATAGTCAATTCTATTAAACCCACATAAAAATCCAGGCTTCTAATGGCCTACACAATACGCTGATTATAAAACAGAGATTTATGACATCCCCACTTTATCTTAGAAGTATGGATGTTGGGATTAGGCTAGCATCGCACTATTTCCTAAGATTTATGTATTTACAACAAACTATAAAAGGTCACTAAATCTTAACTGAAAACATGACATAATATTAAAATGTGAAGTTTTAAGCATAAAATTTGAAAATTTTTTCTACATGCAAAATATTTTTGAAAATAATTCTTATAATTATACTAATTTTTTAAATGCTTATTTCATCTGATTTTATTGTTTCATTTTTATACCAACATGCCTTAAAATAAATAGGTGATTCTAAACTCTTATCTACTTATGTGACTTTCTAGAAAACACATACTAAGAAATAATAAGTATTTTCTGCTGCCTTCAATTTTTAATTAAATCAGAAGATTATACAGCTGACTAATTCCAACTTTTCTTTCCTGAAAAATCTTTGCAAAACACTCCTTTAAAGTAAATCACTGTTAAGTAAACTTTCCCCTCTCTTGGTTTCTCTACTGAGGGATCTCAACATCTATGAAGCTATTTCTCTTCCCTATTTATACCCTTAACTTAGTCATTAACTTAGTCATCCACATACCCTGAATTGTATCATTCTATTAAAAAAAAAAGCTTTTATCTGCAATGATAGCTATAAAATATTGAAGCAGGAAGTATAAATAATTCTACTTCTTTATTTCTACATTTCTCTAGGAAATAAATGTGACCTTGAGTCTAAATTCAGCCTTCTATACAGATGTTGTGTATGTACTGCTAAATTCAGAACAGTAAGACAAAGACAACTCACTGGGACAGCATAGTTTTAACTCAAGATAAAAGTTCAGCAATTAGAGCTCAAAGTATATGTCAGAGAATATGTTGAAAAATCTTTAAATAGAGCCCAACAGTTGGGAAAGTTCAGGTAGGTACTAAAGCAACAACAAAAAAGCTAATCAAAAGAATAGCTTCTTAAATATATTTTAGGAGAAACAAAAGGTCTGCGTGTCTGCATAATACATTTATAGAATGAAAGAAACACATAAAGGAGAGCTACCTGGTATTAATAAATGATTCAGTTCATTCAGAAGTATGAGCAACTTAAAGGGTAAATTCTGAAATACTTGCCAGATCTCCAGTTGGTCAAGAAGACCTAGTGATGATAACATGAAATGGCTTAAAATTTCTTAAATCTTTCCTGTTCCTTATTTCTCATCTCCAATGCTACCATCTTAGTTCTTATCATTTAAAAATTTCATATTAGTTTGACCACTTCCAATTTATCTTTAAACCCAAAATCCTACTCTATCCTACCACTGCCACATTTTCAAATCCACCCTCCAAATAAGAGTCCAAAATAATTTCTGTAAAGTACAAATCAAACACATCCCTTGCCTGATTGATATTTCCAGATCAAGACAAAGGTCCACATGTCCTGTTTGCATCCCTCCTCCTTCCCATTACAAGTGCTAAGGGCTTCCCAAGGGAGCAAAGCCATAGCCACATATGACCCCCTAAATCCAGGGTCTACTAAGAGAAGGCTGTAGCTAAGAGGGGTTTAGGTCTTTCTTTTCCTACTTAACCACAATTTAATTTTAAATTCTTCGGGAGAAAATAAAATCACTCCACAGCAAGAAATGTGAGAACCCCTAAGTATAAAGTCTTTTACAAAAACAACCCAATTACTAAAATCACAGTTTCCAGACATCTTTAAATGACCAGAATCACTTGTTTCAAGCAATATATAATGTAGAATCTAAATGAAAAGAGGTTGGCAACATAGACAGAGATCAGATCATACAGCCATAGAATTAAATTCAAAATTAGTTGTCACGATGCAAAGTCAGTGGGATGGAAAAAGCAGGGATGTGATAAAACCTGATTGACAGTTTTGAAAGACCACTGTGGTTTCTGTAAGAGTTGAAATTGCTGAGAAATTAAACATTTCTGATGTATTTTCATAAATCGTGATATAAGTAAAACATAATATGCAGTTTCCTGTTAATGGACAATTATGACAAAAAAGTCACAGAATACCTGGTCCTCGCTGGTTAATCCCAGGTGCATCACAAGGTAAAAATGCACCAGGAAATCTGAGTTTGGCAGAACATCCTGGCGTCTGGTCATCATGGCACAGATCAGCCTGTAGGCTTGCAGTTTGCCTTCCTTGTATTCATTTGGCAGCGTCGTTGCCTGCCAAGGAGATGATGTTTCCAGATTAAATCAAGTCCAGATGCAGAGCATTTAGACATTTCATTTACTTCTCAGTTTTCCAGAAGAGTTGTTTATGAAGATGTGGGATGCTGTGACTTTAGTAAAAACCCAGCCTGTCTTCAAAACATGCAGTCTTGGGCAATTACATTTTTCAAACTCAATTTCAGAAAGGAAGAGGAAATTGCTATAAAGAAACAAACACATATCCACTTGCCTTAAATAGCCATGATGCAAACATTCTGAGTGGTGGGATCAAGACTGGAGGAGATGGAGAAGACTGGTTATCCAGGCTTATTGCTAGATTATCCCGTATCTAATTCACAAAGAAGAGAATTTTAAGGAAGGTAACATTCCATTTATTGCAACAGTATTTCAATATTATCTTCCACAGCTGATTCTAATTAAATTTCTATAAGTTCAGTGAAAATCCATAATATTTACAATTTTTTTATTTTGTTGTGAAATTTCATCTGTCTGAACTGTGTCTGACTTATTGTATGTGGTTTTACATTAAATATAAAATTAGTGTATTGTTTTTCCTTGGAAATGTTAGTACCTGGAGAGGTCCTAATCTCCAAATGTTAGGGAATGGTTTAACAAATTACACTGTATGTACTTGAATCATGTTTTTGAAAAAAAAATTAATAACAGAAAAAAATTATGTTCAATACCAAAACAAAAACCAGGATGAAAACTGGATGTACTCTAAGAATCTACTTTTGTAAAAATGTCTTTATCTACAGAAATAGAACTATATATTAATATCAGTTATTTCAAAGGGATGGTGATGCATATTTTCTTCTTTGTACTTTCTATATTTTTCAAACTTGTACACTAAAACCAGTATTATTTTTATAAAGAGAATAACTAAATTTATTCAATATCCTATTTTTTATATCCTATACAAATGTTCTACTTTTACACTAAATGAAATAACTTCATATTTATACAACATTCAAACTATAATTATTATGATTTACTCTTTGATAATCAAATGCACTTTGTCTAAGTGCCTAATTTGTGTTCCAGAATATGTTCAGTAGTTACTTGCAACACAGCTTTTGTATTAATGATCAAAGTTTCAAAGATAACATAGAAGAACATGCCTTTGCTAATTTGTACCAGAGTTCATAGAGATAGCCAAAAACTTTGGCATGGATCTTGGGTGACTGGATATTATTCACGTCTCCGAGGATTCCCAAGACTCTTCGCCACAACACAGCAGCAGAATCTGGGTGCCAACCAGTGAGATTCCCTCCAGCAATTATACTACAGTCATCTGCAAGACACTCGCTGCTGTCTATGGAAAAACGCACAAGTTAACCCTGTAAACAATCTGGGTTTCATCATCATAACTTTTTTCTTAGATGCAAATTACTATGCTGAAATTTTATATATCCCCAGTAATTAAAACAACAAAATGTAAACTGGATGTGAATTTAAAATAATAGAAAAGGACTAATGAAGAAAGTAAAATCATTTTGATTCTTCACACTCAAAAGGCAACAAGCTAGGGATGAAGTAACAGTTCCTGGCCATACTGAGGAAGCTGGGGAAGGGAGGGGGGACCTTAAGCAGAATGGATCCTGGGAATACATGGCTGGGGAAGGCCACACTGTTGGTGCTGTTTTTTTGGTTGTAAGGTCAGGTTTACTGAGGGTATCTGCAAACAAGAAATTTTCCTCCTTATTAGGCTTGAGTCTTAAGGAATGTATGCAGTCATGAAGCAGTCACTGTAAATTGTCCCTGTAATTAAGATATGAAACAGTCCCATTGCTTCAAAAAGTACCCCTCCTTGGTCACTCCCCTCCATTTTCAGCCTCTCACAACCACTGCTTTTCTCTGTCCCTACAGTTCTGCCCCTTTCAGAATGGCATGTCAAATGGAATCCTACCCAGTAGTCTATGTTCTTTCACTTAACAAAATGTGCTTGAGATTCATCCATGAGGCTCTGTGTATCAACAGTCTTATGATTGTTGATTAATATTCCACTTCATGATGTACCAAGATTTATCCACTAACTCTTTGAAGGCTATTTAGATTGGCTCCTCTTTGGGGCAATTACAAATAAAGCTGTAAACATTCATGTACAGGTTTTTCTATGAATATACATGTATATTTCCCTTTGATAAAAACCTAAGGGTAATATTTGTGGGCTAAATCATAAGTGAATATTTAATACATGCTAAGTGGAAGAAAAGAAAGAAATGTCAAGACTGTTTTTCAATGTGGTTATTCCAGTTTCTGTCTCTGAGTGAAGAGCACTACTTTTGCTCTACATTCTTGCTGTCCAATTTTATGAAGTTGATATCTCACTGAAATTTTCATCCACATTTCTTTAATGAATAAAGCTATTAAGCATAGGAATAAAATCAGAAGATTGTGGGACAGCTGATCAGAGTCCATCAGGGCAAAGAACCAGTGCAAAGGCCCTGAGACAGGAATGTGCTAGCAGTTCAAGCACAAGCATGTCTTTGCAATATATATTTAATTAAAAAATATAAAGTTTCATACATTGAAACAATTGGCTAGTGAAAAATTCAATGATTTATAGGCATATATAATTTCATATCATTAAAATTATGAAATTTTGTTCTTTGGATGTCTATTTCTTTAGGACAGCTAAAGGCTGGGGAAAACTAAACTGATCAAGACTAATGCTTCCTAAAGTCACAAGCTTCTGGATTTTTAGAGAGAACAGAAAAGCAGTCTGGAATACTCAGGCAACACTTAACAGAACACTGCATTGTGACAAATGTATGTATTTTATATATTAATCAAAAGTAGCAAACATTTTGTATTTACTCACTCTTCATTCATTTCATTCCTTGAAGCATTTAACAACTCTTTCTCATGCCCTTTTCTCACAACTCTGTTTCTATTTTTTCCATGACCAAGAATATCCTTTTAGAAAACTTCCAAGAGCTCAGATTTTTTATTTTGAATTCCAAATCCCCACTCTGGAGACTTTGTGTGAGGTTTGGTCTCTATCCTTATGTGTCGTAACTATGGCTCCCACTATATTCTATTCCCTACCCTCTACTGCTCTTGAGTAGGCTGCCAACAGCCTCCATATTGCTTATGCAGTGCTCCATTTCCAGTTCTCAGCAGCATTAGAATCATATAATTATGCATCTTTTCTGAACCCAGGTGTGACATTCACCTGGTTTTCCTCTTGCTGATCCCTCTTCATCTTAGAGACCTGGAAACACTGAAGGACCCGCTCCCCAGGACTCTTGTCTTCTCTGTTTGTCCTCACTCCCTTCTCAATTTCATATGGACTAATGCCATACAGATTTAAATTAAATCCATGTACTCACATCTCCACACATCCATTTTTGGCCTGGATTTATTTCCCCAATGCTAGACTCATTTATTCAATGACGTTGACAGGTCTACTTGCTGAGGACTGAAGAGAAGGTTGGTCCACAAACAGGCAAGGTCTCTAGTGAGTTTAACCTTGTTCTTGAAGAACCTCAGATATATGCATCATGGGTTTTACTCTGGAATTTGAATTCCAAGGAAAACTCCCCAAAGAGTCTCTCCTGCTCAGAGAATATGTAAATTCTCACTTATCCCCTTTGTTTTCAAGATAGCATCTTAGCATGCATTGGTGACCCCAGGCTAAAAACAACTGACTTTTTCCATCTCTGGGGTGAGAAGCCTGTGGGCAAAGGAACTCCATCAAGGTCTTAAATAGATCTTGTCTTCCGGTTTTTGGCCCTAACATTAGGGTTGGTGTGAACAATTCTCTAACCCTTTAAGAAAACCTGTAGTTCTCTACTGTTTCTTGGCTTTCCTTATTACTGACATAAGATTTGATGTTCTTGGGTGTGTCCATTCATTTGCCACATGTCACCTGTTTTGCTACTTCTAATGATTGGTCTTTCTCCTTCCATCTTTGTCCTTGTGGATTTGTCTTATTTAATATAAATCCTTTCAATGTGCATTCAGTTTAGTGCTTAGGGAACAAGTGGGGCTATCTGGATTGTTCACTCTATCTTTGACTATATATGTATATATTCACAGGATTTTTAAAATGCCTTTGTCAGTAATTTCTTTGGCTTTTTTTCCTTTCCTTTCCTTTCTTTTTTTATTTGTTGTTTTGGTATGGGGAATTGAACCTGAGAGCATTCTGCCTCTGAACCACAACCCCAGCACTGTTTATGAATGTTAACACATTATTTTACTAAATTGCCCAAGCTGACCTCTAATTTATGATCCTCCTGCTTCAGTCTCCAACATCATTGGAATTATGAGCACACACCATGGCACCCAGCTCTTTAGCTTATTTTAAAAAGCTGCTTAATTTATTTTTTAATTATATCATATTTTATACACACACACAACTTTTTGTTGTTGTTGTTACAGGAATTAAACCTAGGGACACTTAACCACTAAGCCCATTTTATTTTACTTTTTGTTTTGAGACAGGGACCTGCTGAGGCTGGGTTTGTACTTGCAATTCCTCCTACCTCAGCCTTCAGAGCCACTGGGATTACAGGTATGCTCCAACACACCTGGCTATTTTATAAATTTTATGTTTATTTTTAATGCATTTACTTTCTATTTGATAATTTTCCCTAATTACTTTTTAAAAAATAAAACATTTTTTCTTTTCTTTTTTAAAATTAATTAATTAATTAATTTTATAGTAGAATGCATTTTGACATATTGTACACAAATGGAGCACAACTTCTCATTCCACTGGCTGTACAAGGTGCAGAGTCACTCCAGTAGTGTAATCATACATGTATATAGGGTAATAATGTCTGTCTCATTCTACTGTCCTTCCCATCCCCACAGTTCCATTCCTCCCCTCACTCCATTCTACACAAACCAAAGTTCCTTCATTATTCCCTATCCACCTGCCCCATTATGAATTAGCATCTGCTTATCAGAAAAACATTCACCCTAATAAAACTTATTTTTAAAAACAGTTTTGGATTCATAAAAAATTGCAAAGATAGCATAGAGAGTTCTCATATACTCCATAGTTCCCCTATTATTAACATTTTATATTAGGATGGAATATTTGTTATAATTAATCCAATATTGAAAAACTACTATAAAGTCCATACTTTATTTAGATTTCCTTAGTTTTTAAAGAAATTTTTAAAAATATTTTTAGTTATAGATGGATGCAATATCTTTATTTAATTATTTTTATGTGGTGCTGAGGATCGAACCTAGTGCTTCACATGTGCTAGGCAAGCGCTCAACCACTGAGCCACAACCCCAGCCCCCCCAAAGTTTTTAAACCTAATTTTTTGTTGCAATTGCTCCAGGATCTCACTCAATACAAATAATTGTCATGACTCTATGGTCTTGACTTGTTTATGATAGTTTCTCAGACTTCCTTATAGATGCAAAGGAATACAGATGAGGTATTTTGTAGAAAGTTCCTCAATTGAGACCTAACTGATGTCTTTCTCATAATAGGTCTTTTTTTGTTTTGTTTTGTATCCCGGGAATGAACTTCTCTTGGCCCTGCTGTATGATATTTTTCCAATATTCTTGGATTCCTATTGATAATATTCTAGTTACATTTTTTTTTGCTTTATATGTGAGATGGTCTCCAATTTTGTTTTTATCATACTGACCATGTCTGATTGTTTTAGAGAGCTTTCTTTCCCTTTCAATGGAATAAACTGGGAAAGGTAAAGTTTCTCTTTTATTTGAAGGTTCAGTAAAGATAAAATGATTTTTGATTGTTCTCTCTTTTGTTTTTACTTTCTAGTACATTCATATAGTCTCTTAGTTTTAAGAGTCTTTTTAAAATTAACTTGTAAGTTATTCTGCTGTTCTCTCATTTTCTGAATAGGGTACATAGATGCATATTTTTCTCTTCTAATATATGTACCTAAAGCCATATTTTTCTCCTTTAAAGACTTCAACTAGATTCTACCAATTTTGATTTAGGTGATATTAAAATTTCCCTCTGTGATTATGATTTTTATCAGTAATCCCTTGTAATTTTGTCAAATTTTACTTCATGTATATGGAGGCTATGAAATTCACATAAATTCAGAGCTATGGCTATTGCCAATAACTTCTGCTTTAAATTTTATGACTGACACCCATGTAGCTAGACTAAACCAGTGGTCTTTACTGTCTTACACTATTTGTTTGTTATTAACATAATTATTCCAAAATCAGCCTGTTCCTCACTTCACACAAATAGAGGTGGGCTAACTTCTAGGCAATTATCAATCCCCATAGAGAGAGAGAGAGAAAGAGGGTAGGGAGGAAGGGAGGCAGGATAATTTTATATATGTATTTGTATATTTTTATACAAAT